TATCGACTCAGACTTGCCTTTCCGACGTCACTGCTATTTTAGCATCACTCTTGGTATGACAGTTCACCCGAACAAAAGGGTTAGCTGCAAGCAGCAAACACACAATTGTTCACTGGTGTGATGTCAATGAGTTGCAATAGCTCGGAAGTATCTGATTCATCATCATCGCCGATCTTGTTGAACAATAACGAGACACTTGTCTCTATTCCTATCCATTAGGAAAGAAGAGTGGTTCCCTTGACCTTGCCGCTTTCCATCTTGGCCGTCCTAGCCCCAAATTGTATCTACAAGTAGGGTGAGTTGCTGTGTCAATACAGGGTAGAGCAGGAGATATTGAGAGACGACTTACTGCTCGCTTCTTCTCGGCTGCAACCAAGACCATGCCAAGCTGATCTGCGAGGAGGCGCAGTACTCGTTTCCCGGGTTCGAGCTCACATGCGCCTCCGTGATTGCCGAAGTCGCATTTCTCCCATGTGGGCAGTTCAATTGCCCACTTGACCAGACTTTCGTCTAGATAGGGAAATCTCACTTCCCTGCTCCAATGTGCCATGACTCTATCATCCCGTCCCAGGTTCCGTTTACCCAGACGGCTAACGTCCAGCTGCAGCTCGTCTATGAGACCGGGATAACCGCTCCGAGTATAGGCAGTTGCATGTCGAATGTATCCACCAAATAGTTCGTCTGCACCAAGGCCAGATAGCAACACACGAGCTGTTGTGCTGTAGGGTTGAGGATTTGAGTCGATATCGGTTTGGCCAATGCCCTCCCCTCTTGCAGCAAAGTACAGCGCATAGGCAATGGACAGATCCATCTCCGTGTTATGGGGGTAAATTAGGTCTATTACGTCGCCCCGATGAGCCGACGCGACTGCATAGGGAACATTAATCTGCGCCCTTTGTCAGTACGGCTATGAGTGGCACTTCGGGGACGTGCAAGCCTACTGTGATGAACCGCCACCGCCTCTCTGGGCACACCGCCATCAACTCTGCAAATGACCTTCTCCCGGTCACCCGGTCAGGACAAAGCTCGTAGAGTTCTTCAGGAGACAGCTTTGTATTCTGAGACGCGATCCTGGGGTTCTCAAATGCCACGTTGAGTAGGTCGATGACCTGATCTGAGGGCAGGAGGTCACTTGCCATCCGGGCCAGTACGGTGCAATCCAATCCACCCGAGAAAAGAATCGCCACCCGCGCATCTGATGGGGAGGCATTTGGTGGAACCGGCACGTTCAAGACCCGTAGTTGAAGGGATGCAACTAGATGGTCACGGAGCCGCTGCACCGGGAGGGATTCCCTAGCCAGTGGGGTAGACTGTTCTGAAATGGCAGTGTTGAAGACACCAATGCTTGAAACCTGAGTGGGTAAGTGCACGAATTGCATTTTCGTATTTAGTTCGCAGCGAACCTCAGGTCAAATCCGGATGACATACCAAAGCTTCGTCTTCATTCCAATTGTGTCTGATGGGGAGCAAATTGTGCGCCGAGTTAGCTTCATCAAGTTGAATGGTATAGCACCCGTCCGCTTCAACCTCTGCCCAGCCTACCGCGGGCACATCGGCGATGCTGGAGAGTGAAAATTCGTCTCCTTGCTTCACCAACAGCGATCGCCTTCCTAAGCGATCGCGTCCATAGTACAGACGGTTGGTGGGTTTATCAAGATATATGAAAGCAAAAGGTCCATCGATAGAACGGAGCGCGTTTAGGACACTGTCCTTGCCGCCTTCAATGCCAGCAGTGTTCAGCATGGAGAAGACAGCCTCGCCATCATTTCCCTCGACGAGGTCATCACGAATCTTCCAAGCCTCGCCATTCCAACATAATACAGATCCAGTGTCCTGGTTCACAAGAGGTTGTTTTGTGACGTGGTCACCGCGTAGTGATAGGACAGTAGCAGTGAAGGACAACGATAGAGGTTGCTCCCCAGCAGCTTTGTTGAGTTGCACCTCTACAGTTCCAAGGTGATCCGGTCCACGATTCCGGAGATGACGCTCCACATTTGGCGTCAGCTTGTGAGGGCCTGCATTATGTGAAATGACGGCGTGTATGCCGCACATTTTCGTGCCTTGGGAGCGTGATGTTAAACCTGGCGAAGGATTGAGCTGAAGGGTTTGGGGGCACCACAGCTGTTGGGAAGTTTCAGTACCGTGCCGTCCATGTGTCTCGCACCGCCACAGTCCCATGACACGCTAAGTTTCATGCGCCACATCCATCTGCAAGAACTCCTGAATAGTGAAACGATTCGACATCTGAATGCATCTTCATGGGCAACAAAAATCGTTTCTCAAAAATAGACTCCGAAGTATGGAATCTGCAATCACAGTTTGAATAGTAATCGACGATGGAACTCTCCGTCTGACCACATGAGACCCGGAATTCGCACGTACATTTGCAGTGAGACAGAGCGGTGTCTCCCTCGGATAAGCGAGAACCTGATTTGCTGATGTACGAAGTGATAGGGTGTTTCTGGTAAGATATACTACTACAGTGCCTAAGACGGATTACTTGTATGCTTTATATGATTAGCAGCACCTGGTCAAAACTATACAGGCACTGCAAATCTCATCAACCGGTCTCTACCTCATATTAACGCGATGATATGTCGGCGACAGCCCCATGATCGTTGCAATCTTCTATCAAGGTGAAAGCAATAGTAAGAAAGATATTCCAGCTTCATCTATTCTTGTTTCAAACTGCAGCCAATTTTTTTTATTAGGCCTCGCTGACCAAGCGCCGTTGCTATTTGCAGACCTTAATATACATCTGCATGTCGATCATCCGCTCAGCCTCCGGATTTCCCCAAGACACACCTCAAGCCTAATGCGTATAAGCACTCAGGAACCAAAGCTTGTCGAAATCTCACCTCTCCGGCCATGGCGTCACGCCGGCAATCCTTCTAGAGGGGATGATCCAAGCCCAAAGACCCCCCGCTAAAAAAGACGGTTATCGGTATTTTTGTGTCGACGAGTCGATGGAGTGTCTCGGAGCATAGAAATGAGTGCCGCCGAGATGGCATTTAAAGGAGTATATATAACTTGTGATGATGTTCATCTTCCAATCCTGCTATTCACTCTCATCATCCAAGATCATCTCTGAATCACAAACAATACCCACCAAAACAAGCAACAATGGCTCCCGTTCTACAGTCTCTCGGTCAATGGACCATTGTCGGTCTCGCTCTGGTGTCAAGTGGTACGAATCAATAGCCTCACTTCCAAACATAGAAGAGGGAGAGGAAGAAGAAGAAAAGGCTTTCTCGCTGACAAAAAATAGTCCAGGCTACCGCGATGCCCATACAAGCATCTGTAGACACTACCAAGCCTGACTTGCGCCTCATGCCCCTCGGCGCGTCCATCACCATGGGCTGGCTCTCCACTGACGGCAACGGCTACCGCAAGGACCTGTTCGATCTCCTTACCGGTGACGGCTTCAACGTCGACATGGTTGGCTCCCGCCACGATGGGAACATGACGGACAACCGGGACGAAGGCTGGTACGGCTACCGCATCAAGGAAGTCGAGGACAAGGCCAAGCTCTCTGTTCCCCAGTTCCTGCCCAACCTGTTCACCATCAACGCCGGCACCAATGATTGTGCTCAGGACTATGACCTCCCCCATGTCGGTGACCGCCTGGACGACATGCTCGAGTACCTCTGGTCCGCCTCCCCCGAGCCACCCTCATCCTGTCCACCCTCATCATCAACCTCAACGCCACGACCGAGGCCCGCGTCGAGCAAGTCAACCAAGTCATCCGCAGCCTCGCCAAGAAGAAGCAACAGGAGCACAAACGCATCGTCCTCGTAGACATGCACTCCTCCGCCGGTCCTCAGAAGACAGACATGGCTGACCCTACTCACCCCAATGACCACGGATACCAATTGATGGCAAACCTGTGGTTCAAGGGCATTAAGGAAGCGTTTTCCAGGGGCTTCATCCAGCATCCCCAGACGCTACCCTCTCAATGAGGATGCGCGGGGGAAGTCATCCATGTTCCAACCCCACGATTTCGGGGTCCCCCCAACGCCAGCGGCCACTTAGCCAACAGATGTTTCCTCTCTCGCACTGGGACGTGTAGATTATTTTGTCAAGGTAGCTTTGGTCTCGACCATGGGTTTACTGGCTTTGCTTCAGTCCGTTTTGTAAATAGGATACGAAAAAGGATAGTTGATAGACTAAGATAATTACAATAGAAGTTTTATGCTCATATATATTCAACCTCTCGGAGTCTTTAAGAAACACTTCACCTCACACTATTTACTCTCGCCCCAGCGAAGGATCGATCTTTATCAATAAGTAAACTCTTGCAAAATAGGCACAACAAATACCATCAAGTGCTTAGCTTTCATTGTTGATACATCATCTGGAGAGTTGGATAATATTTCCGGTTAATAGCACCAATGCTAGAAAAGGACAACTAAGTAAGTACTGGAGAAGGCCCATAGTCGGCTGGATCAAAGTACCCATCTGAGCATCTTAATTGAAGCATTTCGAGATGAAGTAAATACACTACTGGAGTAGCAGAGCAAGTCAGACACCAGCCTCATCAAACATCACAACTATACCTCATCCAAACTCATAATTTGAACCCCATACCATAGGCGATGAACGCCTAGCTCCGTAAAGTGTAAACTTTCACTCTCCTACATGGCCGATGCGAGTCCAACATCTTGGACGTAGGGTTCGTCACCGACCGCAATCCTTGATAACTCATTCCCTTTCCCCCGACAACTCAATCCGATATGGTGTAGTGGCTAACATCGCTCGCTCTCAACATTTCGAGTGCCGAGCAGCCCGGGGTTCGATTCCCCGTATCGGAGTCGCCGAATCTTTTTGACTTGTTCTAATGGACCCTCCTAATCGATATCCGTGAGATGGACCCTTGGATCTCGAATCTTTTTTTTATACATAGTCCAACGCCACTATAGATCCACCATCGTGACCGTTATCTATCACTTGGGCTCGGACCTCGCCAAGCAGAGGATTACAGCTCAAGAAAAGCTCATCCATCCGATATGGTGTAGTGGCTAACATCGCTCGCTCTCATTCATCTCTTTGAGTTACCGAGCAGCCCGGGGTTCGATTCCCCGTATCGGAGATCATCTACGAGTTTCTCTTTTTGCTGGCGGGGGAGGATTGTGAGTCGGGTGCGAAGTAGAAAATTTAGCGTCTATTCATACTCGATGTGCTAGTAAGAGCATGACAAATGGATTCCTTGTGCATAAAATCCTCGACATATGTACCACGGCCGTCGCCGGAACTGGTTGCACGGGAGAAGACATACCATGCCACGGCATGAGGTTCGATATAAAGCCTTTGCGTCATAAAAAAACCGCAGACTTCTCAGAAGCTCTTCGAACCACTGGGCCTTGTCAGTGGGGAAAGTACTTTCCCAGTCGATATCCATGGGAATGTGCTTAATGAAGAAGGCGAGATTCTGGTCATGTAATGCTATACCCGAACAATGAGGGGATCGCGGAGATGCCTTGAGCTTGCACAAATAACAAGTTATGCCGTCATGGGCATAAAGCACATAGCATAGACAATTAAGAATAAGCCAAGGCAAACTTTATTAGTCCTCATAGTACAATGTAGATGAGGAATGGAGGGTGGGTATTGGTGTAGTTGGTAGATACTGCAGAGTTATTTATATAGACGGTACCCGATTAGCTGAGTTGATAGAGTATTAGACTCTCAAGAGATGTATACTCTGCCGTACTCCGTAACAGTGGTAGTATCTTAAGCTTACAGTTTCAACCCCTGCATTGGGCTTTTGCTAGAGCACCAAGGTTTGAGAGGTCAAACCGAGGGCTGTTTCGTAACTGTTGACAAGGACACACTTTTCTTTGTTCTACCTAGGTGTGCCTGTCTACAAGGGGTCTCTACGTTGGAACTACTAACCTTTACTTCACAAGAGATGAAAGAGCACTAAAGATCTGAGTGGGATACTGTTCTAGTCATTCGCCTGAAGTAGAAGTAAACGTCTATCCCCCTTGGTCCAAATCTGGACGTTGCAAACCAGTTGTTCCGTGCGTATCCAAAGCTATTCTGCTTCCGCCACCTCAGGGCGATACTCTGCCCTTTCATACAGCTCATTTTAGAAAATAAAAAAAGGCTCGCGCTAATGGGGCCAAAGGAAAACAAAAACAAAGTAGGGCTTCCTTAAGTGATGAAGCCCAATACATTAAGAGTAATAAACACCTTCGTCAAGTCGTTAAGTAAACACGGTTAACTGGGTGATGAGCAATGCAAACTCAATTGCATAACGAGTCGCTTATCTTCATCGTTAAATCTCCTCATCACCCCTTTTATTCCTGAAATGTGTGATAATCCAGATTGTACAATTGTTGGAAGATGTCCTGGGACGATTGAGAGAAACCAAGGTTGGCACTTGGAATCTCCGCCGCCGGCATTTCGCCAAACAGCGATTGGAAGTTGGCTTTACCGACGGCCGTGGGAAACAGTTGGAAATCAACACCATCTGTTCCAAACGACTCGTCAAAGCCTTCATCGACTTCACGAAGTGAGGTCGGGGTGTAAAGCACAGCGTTCTGCTGACCAGTAGGAGAGAAATGTGGCTGGTTCACGACCGGGGCGATCATGCAAGGCTGTTGCTGATACATGGGCAGCTGCTGGTGTGGCATCATCTTATTATAGAGTTGCTCGGGAGTTGGCAGCTGTGCGGGGATCTGAACGGGAGCAGCGTAAATGTCCTCATCGTTAATGATAAACGTGGATCCATTCTGATACGGAGGATACTGCTCGTACGAAGTAGCCGAAGCGGGAGAGGGGTTTTCCAATGCAAGATCCAGATCCATGGTATCAATGGTATCAGGCTGGAGACCGTAGGTTGAGAGCCAGTCTGCCTCATTTGGATAGAGAGGGAAATCATTGGGCATCATCTGGGCCACGGTCTCCCCGGGAGGAGTAGGCACGCTGTATGATGGAGTGGTGGATGGGGTAGAAATGCTGCCAAGAGGAGGTGTCTGTTGGACAGAAGCGCCAGCGTTGGAAGGAAGCTTCTTGCCGTTTGTCTTGGTGCGGACATAAGTCCATCCGTGAGCCTTTTCCATGTGTTGTTTGCAGTTGGACTCTCGCTTCGACTTGTAGGGGCAAGGCTTGAACAAACACTCGTACATGGCTGGGGCGTCCGAGTGCTTATCGTTGATGTGGCGGTCCATCTCCTTCTCTGTAGGCCAGCCATAATCGTGGTACTTGCAAGTAGGGATGGGGCACTTCCAGGGACGAGAGTGTGTTTTCTCGTGCTTAGTGAGGTCACATGGGCGCTTGAACTCCTTGGTGCACCCAGGTTCGCGGCATCGCTTGGGTGCCAACTCCTCTGGGCTGGCGTTCTTCTTTCGGCGGGCCATGGAGCGCATGATTTCCTCCTCATCCTCGCGCTGCTCGCTCAAAGAACGCTTCAACTGAGCGGGGGATTCATTCAAATCAATAACCTCACCGGTAGCCATGGAGATGGCGGTACCATCCTTCTTGATGCGGACGAGCTCAGCGGGGCGACCATTCTCAGCGATGCCACCGTGAAGTCTGATCTCATCGGATCTTTGTGGGTTGTTAGTGGGGTAGTCCAGTGGCACGAAACGTGGTACATACTGGTCAAGGTCCATATCGTCTGACAGGCCGCCCTTGTCTTTGGCGGCAGCGAGTTGTCTTCCGTACTGGTAGATTTGTTCCTTCAAGTCGAGGAAGTAGCCGTTAGTGTAAGGTCGATCGCCGGGCCGGACTTGTTCGCGGTCGGTTAAAAATTCGACGGTTGCTTGAATGCATCGGATTGACGTGAGACAGAAGTCAAGGTACAAGGCGGCGGTCTTGGCCTTCTCCTTTTTGCGCAATGTCCGATAAGCATCTCCCCAAACGCCATCATCAGTTAGAAGTTGACTTACTGGTGCCATGAAGACGAGGGTCTTCTCAAGATCTCGCAAACAAATAATCTCCTTGGATCGGATACGTCGAGGTACATCCAAAATAATGGGTTCAAAATCCTTCAGGGTGGGCTTCTCAAGGAGGGGTCGGAGGGTGTGTTCGCGAATACGATTGATGGCTCTGCGGCCCAGGCTGGGCAACAATGCGGTGGTGCTCGAAGCAGCCGACCGGGTTAGGGCAGTCGCCTGCGGCTTACCACTCTTCTTTGCTGTCTCAGCGGCAACACACTTTTCATTTGTAGACACAACAGAGCTGCCAATGCCACTGTCGGAGGCATGATCCTTGGTCTTGCGAACCGAGCGGGGGCGCAGAACGCGGCGCTCTTGTGCTTGAGCCATGACAGGGTCGACAACGGGAAGTTCTAGGAAGCCACGAGGAATTGGCAGATTGATGTCTCGAAGAGACTTCTTCTTCTTGGGAGTCTTGTCTGACAAGGAGAGGTGCTCGGTCTTGGCGAGAGCCTCGTCGATGTCGTTGAGCGTCATAGCAATGCGACGACGGTTGGCATCAACAACATCATCGAAGTGAGATTGCGATCTTGTCAAGCGAGGAGGAGTAAAGTCGTCGTCGGAGATTGAGGGAGATGTAGGTGAATGGAAAGTGGCACCTTTGCGAAGGGCCGTGGTAGTTTTAAGTGATAGGCCATTCTCGCAATCGGTTCCCGGGCGAGTCACCGGAGCCCTTCGGCGGGGGTTTGAGAAGGACATGGCTTAGACTGTTGTGGGGTGTGGCAGGTGAAAGAAAGAAGATAGCTGTCCTTGAAACGCTGTGACGTGGGAGAGCTGTTAGCTTCCTTGTTGATTCAATCAAGTTTGATGCTGGCGTCCTGAGAACTTGGGCGGGTGAGTCACAGTCCCTGTCTGGGAGAGGGCTATGCACACCGAGGCGGGATGGTATCGACCAGGGCCAGTCTAGAATGACCGACGAGAGAAGAAGTAGAAGAGGACAGAGTATCCGGATGGAAGAGAATGAAATAAGTCCTTACCAATTCCCGCGTTCAAGCTGGACAAAGGTTGGTCAATCCGAAACCTCGAGTCCACGACACCAAGCTGGGTAGCAGAGAGTTGACGGAAGAGCGAGGAATCAAGGCGATTGACGAGTGTGACACAAAAAAAAACAAGGCGCCTTGCGATCGTGTGTGTTAATCGAAGATGCGGGCGGGCACAACAAGATTGATCGCAGCAGCAACAGCAGCAGGTGACTCGGCCAAACCGACAGGGAAGAATAAGAATGACTGAGGTTGCAAGAAGAAAGGCTCGAGGGGACGGGGCGCCAAATGGATATATGAACACAGCAAACCCGGCAACGGTCGGAGTTGGGTGACGGTTGAAACTGGGAGTGAGTGGAACAGGCGAATGGGGGTGGGAAGAAACAGAAAAGATGAGGAGATGGGATTGAAAAAAGCGAAAACGGCCAGGGACAACAGGGACTGGACGAAAAGTCAGGTCGGGTCAGGTCTTTACTGGCAGCTCAACAATTAGGCAGCGTTGATTTCTGAGGGGGCACGTTGGAAGAGAGGAGGACGAGACGAAAGATGAAAGGCTAAGCAACGGGAGAAGAGAAGATGAAGGTGGATGTACCCCCCGAAACAGCGTGTAGTGCTTAGAAAGCAGTGCAGCGACCATGTTTTGGAGGGCGGACTTCAGCGACTCAGCCCACCGGAGACTGCTGCCTAGTAACCATGACGAATTGGGGCTAGCGTATTTCATGGGCTGAGGCGTGGGCTCAATGAAGGAGAAGAATCCCTGTCGCATTGTAATCTCTGTTATAGGCTCTATTCAGAGGGTACATGATGCACTAGCTAGCCCAAAGCCATTGTTCGGTTCCGCCGTTGGGCAAGATTCGCTGCAAGTCACTCTGAACCGCTATGAGGGAACTACGATTTCCCCCTCAACCCCTCTATGCGCTCCCCAGCGCTGCGGCTCTGTGGCACTTTGGATCGAGTTAATGGCCCAAGTCACTCGACTATCACTAAACAAACCGACTTGTCCTCTACATCACATAGACTACACACTGCATCCCTTCAAAGACCCACACGCAAGCACCCACTAGACTTGTTCTCCCAATGTTCGACAACCTTGAATGAGTATGGACGGACGGACGGCCAACGGCGACAACGAGCCTTTCGGCGGTGGTGGTGGGTGTGATGGTGGTCTT